GTGCAGGTCATTTTCGAGCTCGATTTCACTGGTACAGGTTTAATTTTATGAATGATAGCTGACTGTTTTATATATATATATTTGTTAAGTTGCAACCGGCCTTTTGACAATGGAGCACAGTACTTTGTTATGGCCTATGGTGTAGGAGACACTGCATTTTCCTCGCTGCATCCTTAGTTGAAACAAAAAAAAAATAAGAACTTAAAAACATTTTCTAAAATGGGTCAACAACCAATATTTTCTGGTGCAGGTCATTTTCGAGCTCGATTTCACTGGTACAGGTTTAATTTTATGAATGATAGCTGACTGTTTTATATATATATATATATATATATAGTTCTTGAATTGGTAAATAGTATGATACAGTGAATTTAGAAATTCTCACTAGAGGAGAAGATATTGTAAAAGTTGTTGTTCTCAAGTATAGTTAAAAATAATTTATCGTTCTGAGTTGATGAAATATTTAGAAATTTGAAAATTTGAAAATAGATAAATGTGTGGGATGAGAGATTGATTTTATTGTAATAATTGATTTTGAAATTACTCTTAAAATTATGAATTTGGGTGGCGTGAGAAATTTTTAAAAAAGAATCATTTATTTGGGGTTGTTAGTTTGGAGTGATCAAGTTTGAAAAAGAGTATGGCAGTGACATATTGATTATTAAGACAGAGGATGGTAGTGGTGTATTCTTTTAAGCACATCATTACTCCTTATACGCGTTAATAAATTAACGTGTTTGGAAAATCAGTTAGTCAAGCCAATCAGATGAGAGCAATTTCTTCCTCTCATCTTCACGCGTTTGTAAAGTAAGCCCCAAAACAAACACAGAAGCATGCTACATTTCGTCATCTCTAGTGTAAAGTTCCATGCACCGAAGTAAAAAAGAGAAAAATTTTAGGTGAAATTTTAAAAAAGAATCATTTATTTGGAGTGGTTAGTTTGGAGTGATCAAGTTTAAAGAAGAGTATATCAGTGATATATTGATTATTAAGATAGAGGATGGTAGTTGTATATTCTTTTAAGCATGTCATTGTTCCTTATACGCGCTAATAAATTAATGTTTCTGGAAAATTAGTTAGTCAAGCCAATCAGATGAGAGCAATTTCTTCCTCTCATCTTCAGGCGTTTGTAAAGTAAGCCCCAGAACAAACACAGAAACATACTACATTTCTTCATCTCTAGTGTAAAGTTCCATGCACCGAAGTAAAAAAGAAAAAAATTTTAGGTGAAATTTGTTAAAGGGTTTTTCTGGTTGTGCCATTAATACAGGTTAGGAATTTTTTTTTTTATAAATATATATATTAAAAAATGTAAAAATTAATATTAATTTAATATAAGTGTTAAATAAATAAATTTAATTAAATAATTAAAAATTAAAAATTAATTTTTTAATATAAATTTATAAAAAAAATATATT